CACAATTTTGGCTCACCCCATGATTTTCCTATAGGTTTGAAGTTTTATGCGTATTCGTGTCCGTATTTTCATAGAGCATTGATAGCTGTTGTAGAATGTCAACCGGGTCTGCCTGACGGAAATTTCATCATGTTTGCATCGGCAACCTCTGGAGACAAGGTGAACAATGCGAAGTTCTCACCATGTTCCGTGGCCAATATCTCGAGCGTTCTGCATGTAGTACTACAATCCGTACCCATTGATCCCACTCGTCATGCTGGACCTGTTGGAGCGTTGATGAAACGGAATTGCTTCCAAGGTGAGACGGCATTTCATGGTTTTCCTTATTCTTTATGCACTCTTTTCTTACTCTTTTTATGCATTTCATCCCTTTCCTCGGTCCATTTTGTTATTAACTGACGTTTGTTAAATTTATTCTGGTTATTTTTCACAAACATTCTTGCACATCCAATCAGACCATGGCTGAATGAAGAGTTTATTTCGAGGAGTCGTTTATTCATTACTATCATTTCTTTGAAATATTTTTTGTTGACTCATGGTCTATGTACTACTTTTCCAGAGAGAACATCAGCGTTCTGTGGAAATCAAATCCATGAACCTGGCGAAGAATGTGATTGTGGATTCTCTCAAGCAGACTGTGACCAAATGGGCGATAAATGCTGCACGCCTCACGAATCAGCGCGGAACGGTTTCAGTCTGAGTGGAGGGCCGTGTAAACGAAAGGTGAGCCCATGGTGTTTGTTTAATTTTGGTAATGCAGGCTTATTGCGCTATTCATTGTCATGTTGACGCAAAATTTATATCAAACGTCTGAGACGATTGCGAGATACATATGACTCCTAGGGTTTTGTTTGCTTAGTCAGGGTATGGCATGGAAAACTATAAGTGGGCACGTGTCTCGATAACGTTGAGAAACGCAATTATTATTCTGGTGTGGGGAAAATCTGCCGTGATGATTGGAAATTTATTGTCTATTGAGGAAATATGTTAAAACTTAAGCGATGATTTATCTCGGGCTAATGGCAACTAATGCTGTTCTTTAAACACAGGCTCTACATATAGGGTTATGTTGGATAATTATGGCCACATCTTTTTGAAAAATTTTGAAACCACTTAAAAATCTTTAAATTCTTTCTGAAATGTTTTCAAGCAGGTTCTTGACGCCTCAGTGTTCCTGGCAACTGAGCTCATTTAGTCAAATCAAAGCGAAGAATATGTATTGTCAGTGTTATGATTATTTCTAGGTGTTTTACTAATATATTCGATTGTTCAGACCGGAGCTAAATGTTCCCCGTCTGAGGGCTACTGCTGCAATTCCGAGACTTGTTCCCTGCATCAAGAGTTTGACTACAAAATTTGCCGGCATGTAAGAACATAATGTTTCACAAATCATTTTTCACTACTGGTTATGGTGCTAACTATTATTACTTTTCTTCTGGCTCATCAGAGCTGTACCATTCTTTTTTAAGGAATCAGAATGTAGTGAAACACAATGGTGTAATGGACTAAGTGCTCAGTGCCCCCCGTCCCCACCAAAACAGGACGGGTTGCCTTGCCAGGACAGTACTAAGGTAAGCGGGACATCTGTCTCGATTTGAACCCCACTGAAATAAATATGGCACTTTTAAATTGCTTGTAGGTTTGCTCACACGGTAGCTGTAATGGATCGATATGTGAATATGTTGGACTGAAGGACTGTTTCCTCACAGAAGGGAGACCTGAAGAGTTGTGCTTCCTAGCTTGTATCAAGGATGGAAGTGGGTTTACTTTGGCTGGTTCAAATTTGTAGTTTATGAAGTGCATTGTGTACTTCATCATTCGAAAAGTTTTCAAAAAAGGTAAGTGGAAGGCTTAAAAGTAAAATTTTCTTCCTTCAAATATCATTCAGTTTTTTTCTGTATTAGAGGCTTTGACCACCTCATTATGTGTCAGTTTCTACATATCACTTTAATATTCAGATTTTTTTATACATTTTGTTCGTTGTCTAATTGTTACTTTTTATTTTCTACTTCAGTAGCATTTTAGTATTTTCTTCAGAATGCACTTCAAGCGTGAACCTGCCAGAATTTGCCTCCAATAGAACAATATTTACTGAGTTTGTTCAGCAAGGCAGGAAAGGAAAGAGTGGTCTTGTGTTACACCCAGGATCACCCTGTAATAACTATAAAGGTTCGACTATTTTCAAAACATTCGTACTGTTTGGATTGGAGTTGGAACGCTTTATGGAAACGGTGAGATTCATCACGCATGGTCGCACATTAATGTAGGGCAGCGGTCGATAAACTGGGGCGTACGCGTCCGCGCTGGATAGGTGCAAGGGTCGTAACTATGGTGTTTTCTGATATGATTCTGTTCGGGAGCAGTGAAGTGACGTTAACAGATGAGGGCTTTTTAAAGCGACAATGTCGATCAAATCACATGTGTGGGATTGAAGATGTGATCTTGCACGTAATGGAATGTATCGAGATCCAACGTGCTCTTTTGCTGGAAAGATGGGAGTGGTGGGGTTGATAGAGAAGCGAAAGGATGACTGGAAAGTGCAATCCAATCCCATCAATCTCTTCTGAGATCCAACTTTTTTCATATGCAACTTTTTGCGAACAGTCTTGGTGGCATTTGAACGTGTACTTTGCCCACATAATGACTCATTGACGATAGCCAATGTGCAGCACGGAATTTTAACTCGTAAACGGGCCTGGTGCAGCTAAATGGGGGACTTTGCTGGCTCGAATCGGCTTTTAATACTTGAACCTTCTGAGTTATTTACGCGGTGCAGAACTTTACAAGAAAAAGTTTTCCTGACTCAATAGCAGTCGAATCATTTTATTCTTTTCAAATGAGTGAAAAGCTTCTATTATGTAGGCTCTTTAACTGCAATTACTTTGTTAACTAATATGTAAGTTGTTCCTTTCTAGGTTATTGTGATATTTTCCGTAAATGCCGTAGTGTCGATGCGAATGGCCCCCTTGCTCGATTAAAGAACTTGCTGTTCAATAAGAAGACCATAGAGACAGTAACACAATGGGTACAGGTATGTATCAGTGTTCATTTTCTTCCCACAGACTTGAAATTAGGCTTATACTCAATTTCTACTTCTTTTTTCTTTCAAGGAAAAATGGTGGGTGGTCGTTTTTGGCGCGTTAATTATTCTCGTCCTGATGGCGTTGTTCATCAAATGTTGTGCTGTTCATACACCGAGTACAAATCCAAACAAACCACCGGCACTGAATCTTTATCAGACTCTAACGAGGCCATCTACTCTGATTGTGAGTTTGTTAATGCTTATTGCTCTTTGCAAGAGACTGGAGCTATGCGAAGGCAAAATCTCATCTATTTTTTCTTTGTTTGAAGAGTTACTCGTTAGTATGTGCTGAATTTGAAAACACCTTGCTTTGATTTTTTCGAACTTGCTCTTTGATTCCATTTGAAATTTGGCTCATTCAATCCGATTGACGTCTCAATAATACAAATTTAGCGTCAACGTCGGCACAGAAGCCGGGCAGCGCTACCAGGAGCCACGTCCAGCAGTGCAGCCCCACGGTCGAGTGCTCCAAGTGCGCAGCAACCTTCATCATCAAGTCGTCCGCGTGCTTCCGCACCACCTCTTCCGCAAGCACCTCCTGCACCGGTGATCCCATCCGGTTCAGCTCCACCAGTGTCTACGGTGCTGGTGGTAGAACCACCTCCTCCATACACAGCTGCTGCCGATCCAGGTAGCGCTTTGGGAGGGCCAAGAAGAGGTCATCGGCGGAACAAACGGCAAGCGAGTTCCGATGCGGCACCAAAAGCATCGAAATCGAGGGGAGCAAAAACAAAAGGAACAAAAGGGAAGTGACTTGTTGATTTTAGTCGGAGCTGTTCCGATGGGTGATTGTCTATATATTGTCGAGGGTGCTTTGATCAGATTGTTTTACTTTTTGCATGCATTTCTGATTGTTTTTTTACGTTTGAAATATAATATATTGCATGATATGTTCTTTAACATAATTGTTGTCAAATTTTCTAAGTTTTTTGACGGTTAACTGATTGGCTCTACGGTGACCTTCACCTTTCGTCCTTATGTGCAGGGCTGACATTCGAAATGCTCACCTTTTCTGAGGAAAAATAAAGGAAAGCCTAATTCATCTAGCTGTATGATAGCTTTTTATGTGAAAGAAGTTTTCCTTTTGTTTTCCATGAAATGATGAATTTCTTAAGAATCATGCCGGGACTGGACTTTCCTTTTATGAACCAATTGAGGATATGGTATTTGCTCACTTATCACTTTCACGTTTTTTTTCAGATTCAGTTTTTTTTCATTTCTTATTGGCTGATTTAAGTGGGGTTGTCTTTGTTTCGTTCTTGACGCTTTTTAGGATGGAATTACTATG